TTTCTTTCTGCAAAAAACATATTTTCGTGACAATGTCTTGACCAGATAATAGAAGACCGGCTTATATTCTAGGTACCAAATCGGAGGCATCGTAGATGGAGCTGCCATCCGGGTTTGGTGGCGCAAACGTAACGCGATCCGGCCCCAAAATCACATTAGATGCGCCTTGCTGGTTGTGGACGAAATCCTATCTCACCTGATATGAAGGCCATGCTCTAGACGACGAGATCGTCTCAAAAAGAATTCGTAAAGAGAAGGCTACCCGTGCCTGGATTGTCGACATGACTCAGGCCGTCTATGCGTCGCTGCCAATGGAGGCGGAGAGCCCGAAATTATTAATGGCATCGATGCATTAGCTCGCGAAGCTCATCGCGCGAGCGAGCTCCTACATACGATATTTAGATGAAAAGCTCAGCATCAACCGCGATAATACTATCCTCATGGATATGACAGCAATCAACGTTGAGGACGCGAGAGCCATGACCGTTGATCAATCTGGTGCAGGCATGCCGTAGCTAAATCGACAGGATTTGCATCGATGCGCAATACTGTCATTTTTGCGGTGACAGAAAGTGGAATTATCTTACTTCCCGTTCTTTTATGGACGTGCAAGTCGACCGGATTGTTTCAGAAGATCAATGGCGCTTACGTCACATACCAGCCCCAAGCATCGGTTCACAGCGCGTTGTCGAAGCGGTAGCTGATCTACAATTTCTTCTGCTCGACAACAGTGAGGGACGCTTTCTCCTTTGGGACTTGATAAGAGCTCACATCTGCAAGGCTAAGTGTTAGACAATGCGTGTTGTTCCTAACGCGCTCGTATCATACCTGCACGCTGGTGATATCGCTATCAACAGAGGGTTCAAGGACAATCTGAGTGCTGATTTCAACGGAGGGCGATCAAGTCTCGAACTCAGAAATTTTTCGTTCTGAATTTGAAAGTTGTTCGTTGCTGGGCCTGTCTTGCGTGGCGCGAGACGGATCCAGCCACATATTCTAACTCAATTCCTGACGCAGACTTATCGAGGACACTTACAACATTGCCCGCCACGATGTCTCCGGAAAGAAATTTTTTGCGGCTTGGTTGACTTAAAGGGCTAAAAGTGAGCGACCCGTTTAACATTGATGACTGCCTGAGTTCAACATCATTACCGAGTACACTCCTTTTCTCTATTGCTTGCTAAAATTGAAAAAGTGATTGCAGTAATTACCCATCCATCATATGTATCGATCGCCCTGTACTTTTAGTTCTTTGATACGCTATTAGTTGTTTCTTTACCAAGCATATATGCTGGACTAGTCTGTCATCTGTTCAAAGCACTGTAATTCTTCATCTCACATACTCAAGCCCATTGACGCCACCTGCGTTTAATGAGAATTATGTACTGCTTTCTCTCGTGCTGAAGATGATCGTCATCAGACATTAGCTGCACATTAGTTGGCAGGTTGGCTTGTTGTGTCACCCGAAGTCATTTTGCTGATATAAAGGTTTCGTTTGAAAGGCTGTGCCGTCGTGGAATGCTTCAGGTGACGCCGAGAAGTCGAAGGCGTTCAAACCTTGATACATTTCCGTGCCAGCCGACTCAGACCAGCAGCTATAGTCAAACAGGTCACAGATGTGTGTCTGCTGCTGATTATGTCGCTGGCTAGCAGAAATTTTGCGGTTATGCCATTCCTCCGTGTTGGAAGCTTCGATGCTTTGCTCCGGTAATGTCTGCTGCTCTCGACAAATATGGCGGCGGCGAGCACGAAATTTCTCCGTTTCCGAGATATCATAGTCGTACTGAAACATTGGAAGCGGTTGGTAATATGAGGTACTTGTGATGGACGTCGCTGGTTGAGATATGAGTGCAAGATAAATTGTCAGATTGGTGAAAGCATGACAAGGCCTGCTTGGGCCAATGACAGCGAATTTTATCTTGACGTCAGCCTTTTGTATCGTTGCGAATGGGGTTTAAGATATTGAAGAACCTACTTTGATGCTTTAGTATTACAATTGAGATGGCTGCGCTAGAATGGGAGCAGCTATAGAATACTGACTCAATATGCATTTCTCACAAATCAATATTCAGCGACACACTAGGTTTTACTTTTTTTTTTAACCAACAAAAAAAAAAATGCTATTGTGTTGTATTAAAACTGTTTAGCGATATTGCTCATATCTCCTACACGGCTTCAAAGAATGCGTAAGCTTGAGATGCCGAAAACTTCATCTTGGTGCTCCACGAGTGGAAATAGCTCGGCTCGCATGACTTCATTTAATGCGCTCAGTGCGCGTGCAGCGTGAAAGATTACTACACTATCCCGATCGATATGAGCCACGTGTTTGAGCGTATGGTATAGAGGTGATAACTGATCCGGCATGAGCTCCAACATCTTCCAACCAAGCATTTCCACAAGGTACCGCAGTACGAAAACCGCTCCGCGTCGTACTGCCACTATACGCTGTTGCTTCTCTTCTTCTTGATGCTTCCAAACTTTTTGTTGCTCGTCGTTCTCAGAAGCTTTGTTACTACCAGACTTCAAGTAATGAGTTGACGTTTGCTCCAACTCCAGTTGAAGAACACCGAAAACGCAAGTGAGTACATCTAGTAAGAAAGGTTGCAGCCCCCACTGCAGCAAGGCACACACTTCTGCTAGGTTTGACAGACAACTCGCACGAAGGGTGGCAGTGGCGAGAAGCTCTTCTTCACTTCGTCGATGTGGCACTTCTTCCACTTTCTTATTTTCACTCAGCACTTCTTGAATAAGTTGAGTTCGCTTGACCACCGATTCCTGAAAACGCTCTTCATGCTCTCTCTGAGAAAATGGTGCACGAATGCAATCGAGGTATGCATAAACGAATAATTTGCTGTATGCGGGCAGAGTTTCGCCACATCGTCTTGCGGCAAATAAAAGTGCTTCGCTTAATTTTATGCGAATTTCTAAAGGGTTGGTCGTATCTCGCAGCGCCTTCACTAGAACAGGTATTGCTACATCAGGGTGTGCGTCCGCAAGTGCTGCTAGTCCTTGGACAGCAGCGAGGTACACATAACTTTCGGAGTCGTGTAACTTTAGCAGAAAGACACGTGCTAATGCATGTACTCGCGGTGTCCACTCTGTATCATGGTTATGCATATGGCTCCGACGCACAAGTTTTGTAAGCGTGACAACACCACGCGCACGCAGCGGTACCAACTTACTTAAAAAATCTTGTTCAGCACTCTGAAGAACTTCTTCAAAACTTTGTTCGTCTCCTTTAGTAGCTGGAACACCTTTCGCTTCCCGGCTTAGAATATGGGCACGCGCGGTACTTGCGAGCTCTGCGATTTCAGGCCGCGAGTGGCAAGACAAAGTTTCTAATACAGGAAGCATTGCACGAAGATGCTGCTCTTCTGACTCACTACGATTAGACGAACCGGCTTCGAGGATTGTTAAAGCCACACCAAGACAGATTGCCAGGATCTCATCTCCTTCTTCTTTTAAATCTACTTCACATTTGTTCTGCTCTTCTTCATCTACAAGCTTAGATGTAGGTGTATCATATGTACGTAACACAGTTCCGATACACTGGAGTACTACATCGGCACTACGAAGCACGGATGGGCCCAAGCGTTCGATCAGTGTCACTAACAGGAGCAAAATCATCTGGATACCTTCAGTACTTGTCGGGTTTTTCACAGAATCATACAATGCAAGTGGATGGGTCGTAGTACCGTTTTTAGCAAATACGTGAATGCTTTCTGCTTCACCATTCTTCCGAAAGTGCATATATGTCAAAAGTAGCGAAGCGAAGAGATCCCCTACAACATGTGAGCTTTCAAGATTCTCATGTCCTAAGAGCTCCACGATCGGTATAATCATACCCTTCAATGACTCGATTGGGTCAGATTTTACTCCTTGAGTCGAATGAGACGATGATACCAGTCGAAGAGATACACCACCATTTCCTCCCGCACAAAATTCACGCAACGGTGTCCATGGCATTTTATTGTGCGTTCTCTCATAACCCTGAGTCAATAGAGACGGCCGCAGAGGAACTGTTACGGGGAGTACTGCCATTTGAAGAAGTAGTGCTGCATTTGAGCACGATCGAATAAAAGAAATAAGTGATGCACGAAGTGGTGTCGCGAGAAAACTTTTGCTGGTTACAGCGAACGCGTACATATGTAAGAGTGGACGAATAATTGGAGCAAGTGCTTGTAGAATATCTTGAGAGGGTGGTGGGCCGCAAAGCAGCAATTGTACAATGCTCACACAGCGATTTAGCGCCTCTTCGCTGGTATCTCCCAACGAAAAGCTTTTGCTCAATCGACTATCTTCATAAATCAGAAGCGGGTGGAACAGGACTGACAAAATCTGCGTGTCGAATAGTATTGGATGGCGAGTCGCTAGCTGATCGGCCAACAATGCTGCCATTTCCCCAATCAGTTTACTAATTCCATTTTCAGGGGTCACCGCCGCAAGTAGGAGCTTGCAAACTTGTGCGCACAAAGCAGTGGGATATTCTTCAGACCCTTCTCCACTAGGACTTTGACAGATCAAAGTAGCAACTTGCATTCTGGCCTGCGTGTTTCCTTCCTCAACCGATCCGAGAAAAGACTCAATCGTCGCCACAATACCACCGTCCTCCATCAGCAACCTCGACAATATAGTACCACAGCGCGCCTTGAATTTTTTGCCTACCTCGTCTACGGGTGCTGCCTGACCTAATGCTCCACGCAGACTGCTAATAGCCATCCGTAATGGTAATATCTTTAGCAACATTTCTCGTAATCCAATTATGTCTTTTTGAATAAGTGTAGGTGCCGGCGTATCCGTCGCAACCTCACCATATACTAGCAAAGCTAGTAAATCCACTACGTAGGTGGGCAACAAAATAGGCTGAAACTGCGGCAACAACAGCAACTGCAACATTGATTTAGAAATCAGCAGTAGCTCATTCAGTGTTTCCGCAGTCGTGGGAGAAAGCTTGGCTTTGTAAGCATTTTCTCGACCATATTCGCGATATCCCCACAATAAAACGTTCTTGGAAACTACATTCACGCAATAAGAGTCAGCAAATACCTTTTCAAATTTTCGCGACTATTTCTTCTTACTTTTTAATGTACGTGTCGGTCTCCTCTTCTCAATAGGGATAAGAATGCCAGCAGCTACACGAGGGTATGCAGTCCAACAAAAGAGCAGCTCGACAGCCGCCTGCAATACCGAATAATCGCGCAGACTTAACAGGCCTGCAGGCGCTTTGGGCTTCTCATCTCCTCGAGACGTTCGCTGCTCGAATCGTACCTCTGTTTCCATTGCCTCCAGTTCGTCGAGACGTGTCATACAAACATACAGTCGCTGGAATGTTGGCACAAGGCCGTGCCGCCACGCTTCATCTTGCAATTGGAGACCGTTCGACGCCTCCGGTAATTCACAGAACTTACGTACGGCCTTCACAATGTTGCTAGCTATGGCATCATTGTCTTCTGTGTTTTTGATGTCCCGCAGAGTATCTACAAATAGGCGCAACGAGCGCATGAGCGCTTGCAGTTGCTGCTCAGGCTCGTTCAGCATAAGACCCAACACACTACTTAAAACTTAGCTCTTGATAGTAAATTGTGATTTAAATTCATTATCATTGATACGCTTCTCCCCACTATGCATGTCTCACGAGTGTTTAAGCACTAGCAGTACTGTCATTATGAAGATCATAACAAGCAGCAGACCAATACATTTCATAGGGCGACTATTTTTCTGAGTCTCTTCAGCCTTCTCCAACTCTTCGATACCTTTCTCCGTCTGTTCCACCACTTGCTCCATATTATAGTCAATGCGGTCCAAAATTGTACCTTGGTCAATTACTAGCACAGCCAGTTCCTTAAATATTGTTGCCAGCTCCGTGATGGATGTGGCAATGCGCTGTATTTCTTGGTCACGCTCATTGATGACATCCTCAGCAATTTCCACCTCTGTGATTTGAGCTTGTGTAAATCCCTGCGGTAGTTTCAGAACAATTACACCATCAATCAGCTCTTTCCATTGTGCAATTCACAAGCATCCGCATGTTAAACGTGACGTACTGTGTCTGCTCCACCACGCCTATTCTGCTTGGTTTCATTTTCTGCTAAAAAGTCAAATTCGACAGGACCCTCTTTCTGGTTCTTAACACGTGTGAGGTAAGTCTTTTGTGATTTTCGAAAATCACCCGATAGCGTCTGAAGTTGCGTTGCCAAAGCTCTGCTCATAAACAAGTACGAGCACTGTATTCATCAGCATTAATGTATCCGCCTACATCACCTAAAATCATGATCCAGATGATCGTACCTCTGCACATTTTGTCTTGTTTTTGCATCAGCGGCCGAAAATTCCCCGTTTCGGTCACTCTGCGCCATGCGTCGCAGCCCCTTCTCGGCATTCCTGAACTCGTCCGTTATGTCTTGTGTCAGCTGATCAATTTCTCGCTCATATTTGGACTCCTGGCCATCAAAGCGCACCATCAGCCGATTTGCATGTAATTTGTTAAGCTTTTCCACTGTGAAACCAATGTCAACTTGTGAGTCTCGTCATCCTGTCACAATTTTAATCACGATCCACCACCTACTCATTCCTTTGATGCGAGTCACGTGCTGATTAGTAACATTAACAACATCGACCCAGACAGGGGCGATCACAACGCTAGCAACTTCCTGTTCTTCGCTCTTTATAAGCGCACTGCCCTCTTCGCGATGGCTCACTATGTTCTTGCGTCGCAGAACCTTTGCCTTCTCATCTGCGCGCAACTGAAGAAATTGTCGTGTTATATCTCGAGTAGCCATGCTGTACACCTGTGAGAAATTGATTGCTCTATTGCGCTATTAAGCTTATTCAGGTGCACTCAAAAGCCTGGCACGTCTACTGCTGGCTTCACGCTCTTCCGGTATATTTTTATTATTTATATCATCAAAAATACAATACAAGTATTCAATACGCAAAATAACAAAAGTAGACTTCGAGCATTTATTCGATAGGGGAATCTTGTCTCGAGGCGAATCGTAAACGACCCCGTTTTGAGCACCTTTGGCGATGGAAGAATCGGGGCAATGAAATTAAAAATTAGTAAATCAATTCTGTTCAGGATAGGTATCCAAACAATAAAGAGCAGGACGATGTTAAGTTATCAGATATAAGTCTGACTTACTCATTCTACCATGCATAGTGAGCACATAAAAACAACACTGGAGGCTCCACACGGCCTCAATCAAGTGACTTGTGCCCCTGATTCCTGAAGTACTCAACTACGATCGGAAAGTAGAAAATGCAGGGCGCATCTTGATACCTTTTCTTTAGCTAAAAATTCATATCCTTTCACGCTATTCTTCACAATACAACATCAAATCCAGTCCCATGTTGCAACATTTTAGATACTAAATTCGAAATTGATGGAAATTGCCTAGCAGCTACTGAAAGTATTTAATCTTTGGCAGTTGGCACTCATGCGCCTTGCAAATATGGACATCTCTAGTTTCATTTGATTAGAGTGAGCTCGGCTTTGGGCTTATTCTATATCTTAAAACCTTACTCACTCAGCATGCCGATAAATTCATAATACCATTCCACCAAAAAACAGGATCTATTAAGCAATATAATCCAATAAAAAGCTTTAATCCTCGGTGACAGACAAATGTTCTCAACTTCTACAGCACTTATACTAGCAACGAGTTTGACAACCTTAAATGCTCTCAATATCCTTCTTGACCGTTGGACATTTACCTCATCAAATGGATCCGTCCACGTGGAGAACGCGTCAGTGCCTGGCACATCTCATGTTCATTTGATGGAGGCTGGAATCATCGGCGAACCGTACTATCGCTTTAATGAGCGCGAATATCAGTGGATAGCGCTGGAAACGTGGACCTATAAAACCCATGTGATGCTTTCAGACGACCACGTTAGGACGAAGTCAAGTCTTGTGTTCGAAGGTTTAGACGGTGTAGCACATGTAATCGTCAATGGAAAACAGGTAGCAACCACTGCAAACTCATTCATTCCATACCGAATCGACGCAACAGCTGTGCTGCAATCAGGAGTAAATCATATAAAAGTGGTATTTTATCCCGTAATAATATATGCTAGACAGCAGGCGGACAAATACCCTTACTTTGTTCCAACGACAGAAAACTATAACTCGTGGACGGAGCCGACGCGACGCTCATTTGTCCGAAAGGCAGGAACGGATTTCGGATGGGACTGGGGACCAGCATTTCTCACGACAGGTATTGCTAAAGCCGCGTATCTAGAGCTAAATGATGTGGTGATTAAGCTAAAGGACCTAAACATCGTTCAAGTTTTTCCCAATGGAAGCGACGACCTCTCGATAGTGGACATAACTGTCCATGTGACGCTGGATGGTGGGAATATAAATCATAAATGTGTCACATTTTCTCTCTATGTCAACGAGAAGAAGTACTCAGTTATTACTACGACGATACCTCATAATTGGATGAGAAATGCAACAATAACGCTTACGTGAGAATCTATGTATAATAAATACAGTTCTTGACTACTGATACGAGTTTTCGTACTAGGTCTCGACTCGAAAATCCAAAGATTTGGTGGCCTGTCGGGTATGGCGAACCCTATTTGTATGATATACGCGTGGATGCATCCAGCAATAATTTCAATTCGTCTCTTTCTCACAAGTGCGGTATTCGCCATGTTGAACTGGTTCAGGAAGACACAAATGCTGGAAACATTACTGGAAAGACCTTTTATTTCAAAATTAACCGTATTCCCGTTTTTATCAAGGGCGCAAACTGGATCCCGACAGATTCGTTCCCCACACGTACAAAGCCAACCACAGTGTACCATTTGCTGGAAAGTGTTCGTGCTGCAAATATGAATATGGTATAATTTAGCAGCAGTTTTGTCTATAATTTGTCATTTTCTTACGCATTCGACTAAATGACAGATTCGTGTTTGGGGCGGTGGTCGATATGAATCCGACCTTTTTTACTCGGAATGTGATCGATTGGGCATTATGGTGTGGCAGGAACTCATGTTTGCGTGTGGGATGTATCCCCGCGATACTGTTTTTCTTCAAAATGTGCTAGAAGAGGTGGACTTTCAAGTGAGCCGGCTCCGCAAATACTCAAGTATTGTTATTTGGGGCGGTAACAACGAGAATGAAAACATGATGGAGCAGTTTGTTGACGCACCAATCTTTCCACCCGGAATGACATTCAATCGAGATATTGCCGTGGCCGACTTCACCAAGCTCTTTGTGGATCTAATTCAACCCGCTATCGCTGCGCTGGACTCCATAAGGCCGTTCGTCGATACGTCTCCATCCAACGGTTTGTATTCGATTGATCCTTACGTGAAACGATGGGGTCCTAGCAATGGAGTTGCGTTTGGGTTCGTATTATTTCGCCTGATTATCTATCCTTTTCTGGACTTGCACAGATGAGTCTAAGCAATTTGTTTGGTGTAACAGGGACGTTCATTTCTATGACTACGAAAAGGACTGTCAGGATTACCGCATGTACCCACACGCCCGCTTCATTTCTGAATTTGGTTTCCAAAGCTGGCCTTCAGCCGCTTCTCTACACGACGTGTCTGCAGAAGATGATTGGAAGTCATTTCAATCATTCTGGAAATTCTTGAAATATCGTGAAAGACACGAAAACGGCACAACTCAAATGCTCACGCAGCTCAAGCGGCGATTTCACGTTCCGTTTCCGTTTCGCAACGAGATGTGGCTTAGCAACGATTCAAATGTTTGGAGCGATCGTGTTTTAGAGTTAAGCATCACCAAACGCATTGAATCATATCTGTACCTGACACAAGTTCAGCAATCGTTATGCTACCAAACCGCCATCCAAACGTGGCGACGTGGTAAGAATCCCGACTTCGGCTTGACAATGGGCATCTTGTATTGGCAATTAAACGACATCTGGCAAGGAAGTAGTTGGTCAAGCATCGAGCATTCGGGTAGATGGAAGAGTTTGCACTACGTGGCAAAGCGGGAATTTGCACCTTTCATAATTTCAGTTCATGAACAGGTCGAGCACAGAGCTGTGGTCCTATGGGGCGTGAGTGATATAAACCAAGATTTGCAAGTTGAAATCATGTACGAGCTCCGCCAGACCAAGTCCGGTAGTCTTGTAAAAACATTCAGCCACCGTTCCATTGCGATAGCAGCATTGGTACGTCATCTTAATGCGCCAATAAAATGAGCTGTTCATCAACTAAATCCAATGCTACACAGGAGAGCCGCTTGATCGAGAAATTAGACATCGATGCTCTTTTGGACAATGACACTGCATCTTGCAGCCGCACATCTTGCTTCTTATACATTCGCTGCGTTGTAAAAGGCAGTGCCACTCAGTTTGAAGTAGCTGCCTGCGAAGACACGCATTATTTCTTTGCACCGTACAAGCAGCTGAACCTGGGCCAGGGGGAGGTAATTGTTCAGTCCGTAGAGAAGACAAACTCAAACAAGTCTGTTGTGTTCCATGTGGAGCTTGTGACAACAGACTTTGTGGCGTTGTTTGTGGAAGTTAATACGCGAGCTATCATTGGTCATTGGAGCTTGAATTCATTTCTGATGGTGGGCAATGAGACTAAAAGTTTGCTCTTTACTGCTGCAGCCTCAGAAAATGTTATCGGACTTTCATGCAACGCGTTTTTAAAATTGCTATCTGTCCAGTGGCTTCAGAAAAGTTACGAAGCCTTAATCGAGGATGCAATGATGCAGTAAGGCAGTAAGCGCAAACGAATTGAAACCAAGAATTAAATAACCATGGTTCTAAGACCAATTGTCAAGCAAAATTTATCTAATAATTTGTGGCATAATGACTCTGTACGTTAGTATGATTAACTAATTTATCCGAGCCAATAAAAAACTTACGACTTACGTAATTTAGAATTCAACACCTGAGCGTGAAAAGGAAAGAGGAATGTACGCAGTATATGTTTCACTATGGAGGTATGAATACTCCTCTATGCTCTGATTAAATCTGGTGTTTTAAAGGAATTTGCGTGCCAAGATATGGTCGTTGCAAATTTGCCTATGCAACCAGTAGTCTACTTAAGCACTGTTACCATAGATGTATTGGTACTCATAGAGATTATAAACGCCGAAATTGAGGGATCTGTGGTAAATATGGGTTGCTAGCTGCACCGTAAGATGATAGCGTTGTGAGAGATAGAAAAACAAATAGCAGTCTAACCGAGATAATTCATAATATATGTGCTCCTGGAATTAAAAAGCTAATTAGTCGCATAATAGTTATGGAGCGCTGAGCTCCGGTCCTGGCAAGCGCAGACAAACACAATCGCTGTAGGTTTGTCGACACGAGTTCTGTAGGTCAAAGCTTCCTCTGTAAAAGTGCACGGAGCCCCGCTGCACGTGGTAGCACTCGTAGTCAATCCCACGACTGAGTCGTGACGGTACTGTCTCCTTCGCAAGGATTGAAAATGAAATGGTCAAAAACCTATCCCCAAAGCAACCAGACCAACTCATTAAGCTTTTGTCTGTCTTTGACACCGACAGGACGGGGATCAGGCGGATGAAGGGCTAGTTGCGATAACTGCTCCTAGGGAGACGCGCAGGGGCATTAAGATTGCGCTGGTTAAACACATCCAGGATCATCCCAACCGGGTGCTGGCAAAGATCATATGAAACCTAAGAGAGACTGCTGATGTTGAGCGTTCTGGCTTTTGAGGGCCGGGATAAAGGTAATCTCCCCCTTTTGTAATGGTCTACACTTAGTAGATAATCTATGTACCTTCTGTATGCATTGTGGTAATTCATAAAAAATATCATTACGGTGTGGTGTTCCCAAATGCATACGTGACATCTTATATCAGGTCACAAACATTCTGTGTGATACAGAATGCTAGTTCCTACTTGGAAGTATGTACTGGTGACGAGACCGACGTGTCTCTGTCTATAGAACTGGGTGGCTTTGGCCAGTCAATTCTAAAAAACTATTCACGTAAGTTGAAGTTCAAGCTTTTCGAAGTTCAAGATCCGTTCACCCAGAACCTTGTATCAGTTGAAACAGAGGTTGAACTTCAGAACACCCTTGGTTTATAAGTAAGTACCCACGGTTGTATTAGTAAGTCCAGGAGCCCTGGGGTGTTTTGCATGTGGCTAGGAACCATAACTCATTTTACTTTAGTTGCAAATTTGCCTTATAGGGCTGAAGTCGTTCTTGTTCCCTCAAAATCGGGACTGTCCTTCTCTCTCCACGTCGGGAATCGCTTCCTCGTCGCACAAACGTGTGGGTTGTATTTGAGGGACTGTTTGCGAACAGCGCTCTCTTACACCTGGTAGCACTTCGGCGGTTTTTTTAGCGACGCTCGATTATGGCTTGACGACGCAGCCGCTAAGCACGTCGCGCATTTCAATCCAAGCCATACATTTGTCCTTCTCTGAACGACATAAAAGAAGTTCGAGTACCACTCGGTCCATCAGAACCGCAAAGTGAGGTGTTGACGAATGGGATGTTTCTTCATATGAGCGAATGGGACTTAAGCGGACGCGAGAAGTCAGCGAAAGGCTACAGCAGTCAGTTTGCTTCAGTCGTCTTCTCCTGATGATCAGAAGTGCACGGCCGTCAGTTTTATGCATCATGATATTTTGGAACCTCGGAAGCAAGTCGCAACCACTTTTTCGTCGTAAAGAACGATGCCTCTGAAGCTGAGCGTGTCTTTGTACCGTGGTGAAGGGAAGCTCTCACGATAGTTTGTCGAGCTGGATGCCGCAATTACTGCAAGACAACTGCGAGAGCCTTTGCAGCAAGTGTTTTTGGCAATGTACAACCTTATCTGCAAAGTGTTGCGCGTATGGCAAGCGTTGGGCTGATCTAAACGGCATTCCCAGCTGCAAACACTTAAATGAGCTAAAAAAGGCGTTGGAACCACTACAGAGTGAGTTCCGGGCCCGTGCCGAGTTCGAGAAGCTTTATCAAAGTCGTTACGACCTACGCTCGTATGCACAGCGTGCTTGCTACTTTGTACCGAGCATTGTCGATGAGCCAAATGACGTTTTAACGCAATTTTTAACGTTTATGGCGGTCTTGAATGATTGTCCAATCCGGAATCAACTGTTTCGTGAGTATCCCAAGACGCTGGACGATACCATCAACCACACATTGCAAGAAGAGTTCAGCATCAAGTAAGCCAAGGTTAATAGCTTCGTATTAAGGCAAGCGCGCTAGTCGACCGGTACATGTGATTGTTCAGAGCCAATGGACATCGTACATTCTCACGTCTGGAGTTGAGCGTCCTCGCAGCGATGGAAAGAGTTTAGGATGTAGGAAGCCGAGTCATATCTATTGGAGCTGCAGAGTAGTCGGCAACAGACAGTGTGCTAGCTCGGATAACCGCACACGCTATAAAGGTTGCTGTTTCGAACGCTCCCAAGGGTAAGAAACAGGAACGACCAGTAGGGGCGGGACTCTCTACTGGGCCAAGAAGAATACTGTGGATGCTGCGGATACAAAGATATCTGGACTCAATGTGCACAATTCACATGCACTTTCCACCATGAGTGATGGAAGTGTCATGCAAAATGCTATACTGGTTGTCCAAGAAGTCTTTATAGATGGTTTCAAGAAACCGCCACGAGCCTGAATTAACACTGGTGCGTCGAACAACTTTGTTCGAGCGCAAGTTATGACTAGGCATGGTAACAGTCAACCTAACGCGAAAGAAGACTTGATCATTCGATTGCCGAATGGATCTAGAATGAAGATGCCAAAGCAAGTCATTCGCTTGGCAAAAACGTTTGAGGATTCCCAAGATCAAGACGAGTTTGTCCTACTCGACCTCGATGATAAGTTTGATATCATCTTAGGTATGGTGTGGTTGAAGCGTTATCAATGTAACAATGACTTGATGAGTATGACGATCGTCGTCAAAAAGCTGTGCAGTGCTAATTCGAGCTGCATGACGACAAAAGAAATGACATTGTCGATTGCATCTGTTGAAGAATTCATAGATGGCCCGAGTGATATTGTGGTGTACGATAGCCCCCATTTCACAGGACAAGCCCAAGAAGGTAAAAGTAAAGACACCACCCGGAGGTGGACATGGAAGTCATGGTTGATGGTAGTATGAAGAATAGCGAGATCAGAGGCAAAGACCCATCACCAAAAAATAAGAAGGCCACTAAAAAGAGTTTTCCGTCAAGTATTTGCGTGCCCCTGACCAAAGTACAAGATGTATTGATCAAGAAGAAGACACTTCGAGCGAGTTTGTAACCGCAGATGAAGTCGATATTATCCGTCACGTGAAAATTGAAAATCCTCCAAATTTGGGCATAAAATTGGTGTCTTGCCGTTGATGAGCAAGAAGACGCTAAAGCGTAGCCTGGCGAAAGGCAAAATTTTTCAAAATTGTGCGATCGTTAAGGAAGCTATCAAAAAAAACAGCAAATACTGCGAAAGTATATGATGAGAAGACACGGAAGGAAAGGTTTGATGAGCAGTCGTGGGACACTCTAAGTTCAGACCCCTTGTATAGACTTGTCAAGGAGCATGCTGATATATTCCCAGACAAGGTGCCGGACAAATTGCCTCTGACAATGGCATTCATCATGAGATCGACATACTTCCTGGTACGAAGTATTGTATCACACGGCAGTGGCCGTTGCCAAAAGAACAAGTCATAGCAATTGTCGAGTTCTTTGCGTAGCGACAAAAGATGGTCATGTGCGTGAGTGTAAGTCTCCGCATTGTAGTCCAACCTTCTTTGTGAAGAAAGCCACAGGTGATTGGCGCATTGCGCACGCTTTCAATAAATTAAACGATGCGACCATACCTGCCCAGACTCCAACTCCACGCAAGGATATGATCCTGGATGGGGATCCCAGGTGCAAAGAAAGTGCATCTTTTCAGGTTATCGTAGAGTTTACGCTATCGCATAACTTAAAAGACTTGACGTAGATAATCAAGATAAACATCGACATCAGGCTTCTCGCCCTTCTTCATAATGTACGAGTATGTCGCCAAAGTAACTCGGGCAAACTCTCTCAATGAATGAAGATTTAGTATCAATCTGTTGAAAGTCGCGGGAGAGATCATCACACTTTATGTTGTCACTAAGCATTCCCACAGCATACCACTGAGGTAGTGACTGCAGCTAATCGTGTATCATTTCTTGTGCATTCGTATTCGATAAAAACCATTTTTTAGATCGATCGCACTAGTAGCAATACTGCCAACCATTCTGTTCTCGGCTAGTTTGTGGGCAAGAATGGGGTTTGTGTAGATCCGGAGAAAGTCAAAGCTATCAATGATTGGCTTGTCTCAAACAAGGTAAAACAGCTGAGACAGTGGTTGGGTTTGGCCAAGTATTTGCACAGATATATGCGCAATTATGCAGCATTGGTGCAACCCTCAACGACTCTTTTAAAAAAATACGTGGAGTGGGAATGATCAAAGATCACCAGGCTTTGTTTGCCAAATTGATGAAGATTTTGAGGGAAGCTCCTGTTCATGCGATTGCAAACCACGATAAAGATTTTCACGTGGTCTGTGGTGCAAGTGATTACGCTGTCGATTTTGAATTAATGCAAAACGATGATGAGGGTTGAGAGAGAGTTGTTTCGTATCAGGCGCAACAACTCCGGCCCGCGGAACAGAGCTATCCAGTTTATAACAAATATTTTTTAGCAGTAAAGAATGCTTTGGATAACTTCCGTGTGTACTTGCTTAGAAAGGAGCATTTTGCAATTTATACAGATCATGC